TGAATCAAATCACAGGGGGTCTCTTCCAAGAAGAGGTCCTGACTCATCTATTTTATGGATCGAAGAGAATTTTTTGCAAGCAAGCAGTTACGATATTCTTTTCTGTGTAGTCACTAAACGTTTTTTGTTTACTCTGAGTTGCGCCACATAAAGAGAATAATGAAACTACGCATCAAGTAGTCGCTTACAGTAGGTTAAAAACAACAGAAAATTATAAAACCGTCAGCCCCCAAAAGAGCTCAGCGCTTACTGGAGATGGTCTTTTATGAGAGGTTTCAACTAAAAGGGTTTGACTGGGAAATGTTTGGTGTTTTGGATGAGTGGTCGCTTACGAGAGGTGGTCAGACTTCGAGGTCCGACTAGACAAGACAAGACAAGACAATATTTTATTAGGGGTCTTATACCAGCTGATACATCGACTGTTTTCCAACATTTTTATACATAACAAATTATTACAAATAGCGATAGTTACATACGCACAGACACATATTTTGATCTATTTTTTTCGTTATTTTAAAGCTTTCGCTTCGCTATCAATTTTGGGGGTTTAGGCTTCTCGTTAGGGAAAACATGAATATTTCATTTGGTAACATTTTGTTCATTCTTATAAGATATCCATTTTTCAAGCTATCGAGTAGAACGTTTCTTATTTCCTGGTAAGCGTGGCATACAGTTAAAAAGTGATATTCGTCCTCCATTTCCAGTTTACAAACGGAAAACATTGTTTCTTCGTGTTTTTTTATAAGGTCTTAACTATATAAACATAAGTCCTGTCGGTTGCTATTTCGACATCTTCACAGGTCAAATTTTTTAAACGTTTTTTTTTTAAATATATATTTTAATGCAAGCATCCGAATCAGCTTTCGAACGCTAAAAGCGACTCAAAGGGTGTTCACCTTTCCTTTTTAAAAGTCATCAGGGGTATCCAAAGATTGTTTTCTGTAAAAATAATAAATTCCCAACGATTTTCCAAAGTTTAATTTTTCACATTTCACTGCCCAAGCTAGACTATTTTTGCACACTTGCTGTCGACATCACGGTTAAAAATATTGAGACACCCCTAAAACTATATTGGCGTCGTTTACTGTTGTAAAGGGGCTACGTAATGCTATTTGCTGTCTTTTAAAAACCTAAAACGTATCTTCGCAACATTTGAATTCCAAAAGTGAACAATGGCCCCGAGATTTGTTGACCTCGTGTACAGAGTATATTTATAGGTATTGAAACTATTTTCTGTCATCTCTTGCTACCTCAGGAAAGCCACTTAAGGCATGACAACCTAATTTAATATGCACATTTTGTTAAATGCTATTTAGAACGGTTTGCTTCCATCAATGATTCTGAAAAGTGAACTGAAAATGTGGCTCAACAAAAAAAAAAGACATGTGAAACGTGATTTCAAATAACACGTGATATTGCTTCGTTAATGATGTTACAAAATACGTTTTTTTAAACGGGGAAGGGTTGCGAACCTTGATCTTAGGAATTTTCACCCAAAATGTTACACAAACAGTGTAAATCGTAAATCTGCCTTGTATGAATGGAAGTGTTGTTTATCCTATTAGCCATTTCACTAATTAATGAGTCACGTGACCCTTTTCCCTTTATTTACCGATTCCTATATAACGTTAACACGCATACAAGGCGAATTCTTAACAACCTTTTTAATAGCCTCTGAAATGTACCTAAAAGAACTTGTTGTTCTTTCATTATCCTTTCCCCATTTTAAGGTAAATATTTTGACCGTTAATTGTCAATTATCAGTCACGTGACGGAAATGTGACCTTCCAAAATATCTCATATTGCTGAGGCCATTATTGACACAAAATATGCATATTTAATTAGATACTCATGGCTTAATAAGGGAAATCCGCTGTCAAATGTATTTTCAAGCATGGAGTTGTGCCCATACAAGTCTTAAATGTTATTTCAAATAATTAACGTTAACTTTGTTCCGTGCTCGTGACATGTTGATTACGTCATTTCTCATAACAATATGTACTATTTACCGAAGTGATGGTGAATGGTGGTGGATAATTACTGAGCTACAAAGTGGCCAGGTAGATATCTGCCAATTGCATTAACAGTGAGGGGAATGGCCACTACAAAAAATAATTTTTGTTTTCAATAACCTGGTTTTCCCAGTTATGTACAGTCTATAAGTGTAGCTTACCTTTTCCGGATGCCTAAAGGTTACTGGTGTGTGAACTTCCCCCAAATGGGATAAGATTGTGAAAATCACCCTCAGGATTATTTATTCCCTTTACTAATTTCAACCAGACACTGGACAGCGATTTCAGATTTTGTGGTTTATGGCTTATAGAACGAGGAATATTACTGTTGGAGTGTGTTTGTTTCGCTTTATGGCTTATATAGCTTATATAACGAGGAATTAATACGGTCCGTGTCAATCAAGCATACGGACCGTTACGATTCGTACGGATCGTACGGACCGTAGATGCACGCTCCGTATGTGCTCAGAATACGGACCGTGAGCAACTCTGACGATTTATTCGGAGCGTACGATCCGTCAACTGCTCTTAGCATACGGACCGTTACGATTCGTACGGATCGTACGGACGGTAACACACTGTGCTCTGATGTCATAATGAGATGCACGCTCCGTATGTGCTCAGAATACGGACCGTTAGCAACGCTGACGGTTTGTACGGAGTGTACGATCCGTCAATTGCTCTTAACGGTCCGTAACAGTGCAACAGTATTGGACATGACTGTTATAAAGTCATGCTGTTGAATTTATCAGTTTATTGGCAAAATCCAATTCCATAATTTTTTCCTCAAAGCGAAAAATACTCAAACGGTAAGGTGTCCGACAAAATCAAGAAGTTGGCAAACACATTAAACAATTGGGTCATTCATTGATAAAGAAGGATCTGAAACCTTTTCGTGGCCTAACCACAGATGTCAAGTTAAGTTTACAATCAACTGTGCAAAGTCAATAACCGGGGTATTAACGGAAAATGTCAGCGTAAAAAAAAATATCGTAAGAATATGTTTGGGCCTTCAAATGGTATGTTTGAATTCGATTAATCTCAAATCAAAAATGGGCGAATGCTTGGCTGGCACTGCGTTATATAGGTCTCGGATAGTTTATCATCATATTACCAAGGACATATTTTGGCAAAACAAGAAGCATACTTCAAAGCTCTAGGCAGAAACAAAAATGCCTTGTTTATGGAACTTGAGCATAACAACTGTTGTGGTTCAATTTTATCCTTGGTTTAAATTTTATTTTCCTTTGTTTTTGGGTATGGTAATGTCTGATAATGAGTTTGAAACAAAAGAAAATAAAATTTAAACCAAGGATAAAATTGAACCACAACATAAAAGAAACATTTTATATATCGGTAAAAGCACTAAGCTAGTAATGATTTTGACGCATACCCGTTTGAGCACGCGCGAGACCAAGTTAAGGCTAGACTGCGAGCAGTCTCTCTTTTTCTTCAGATTTAGTAAGGGGAGTGCACGCGCCGAGCGTGTCTCTGGCGTTTTGCTCGACGGACCAAGAAAAAAGAGAAACTGCTCGTAGTCTCAGTTAAGCCAGGCCCGTGAGATGATTATTCGACCTTATTTTGTCCCGAATAAGTCAATCCTGGCCATTTTGAATTTCGATTTTGATCGAATTTCACTTAGTAAAACTGTAATTGCTCTTTGTAGGGCTTCGTTTACATCGTGATACAAAGTTTTCATAACAATAGCGGGACAGTCTTGCGTATCAGTGATTCCATATCAGGAAGTAAATTTTGATTGGTTCTCCAAAAAACCCCAGCATTGGAACAGAGTTATACCCTTCAGGGTTATATGCTTTTGGTTAAAGCTATCGTTAGATGAGTACCAACAAGCAAAGATTTTACCTGTACGCTGGAACTTTTTATTGTCTTTAAGCCTAAAAACAAAAACTTCCAGCGGGCAAATGCGACAGTTATACTCGTATGTTGTACATGAATCCACCCGACGATTGGTTGACGACGGGATGCGGGGCGGGTAGTGAGCGCGGGAATCACAAATACACGCACGGCTCGTGGATTCTCAGTGTTCTGTATCACGTATTCGCTCGAAAACGATGAATTCTCTGTTCTGCATTACGTCGAAAAAGTTGCCTTACACTACCTTATGTTAAATGGCTTCGGGATTCATTCTGCCCTGGAACTTTCGCGCACGGCTTTATTAGGCTGCTTGCCTCGTAGCCTCACGTCTTTACGAGGCTGCTCGTTGGCAATAATGACTTCATCATTAAAAATTTCAAATTTTTCAAGACTCCATTGTCTCAACATTCCCAGAGGAGACTTGGGCGCAAACAAAACCAAACCAAATATAGAAAAATGACCAGAAAGCCTCGGAGTCGTGTTAGAATTTTAATATATCAAACGAAAGCTATTGACTCACAAAGCGTTTGCTGTACTTTGTTTTGTGAAGGTTTGAACCTGGCCAGGAGTCATTTCATTCGTAGGTTGCTATTGATCTTCAAGGTAAACGTAGTCCTGAACAGGACTAGGGATCTTAAAAGCAACAACGACGGCGACGGATACGAAAACGTCCCTTAACTGAAGTGAAGTCGCGCTGCTTCAAACTTAATCTATCACGCTTATTCTGTCTCGTCCGTAGTCTTGTTCATTTCGTCAAATGTTGGCAATTTTTTTCTGGAGTTGAGTTCTAAAAGACTGTATCGAAGTCCAGGAAGAAAAAGGCAAGTTGTTGTCTTGTGTTCGCATCCTCCACGAGAAACGTGAAATTAGGCATTTTCACGTCGTAGTCTTTCAGTGACGGCAAAGAAATGAACAAAAAAGCGTAATGCACGTGTAAAGTTGTTGTTTTGCCAATCTAAACCAATTGTTTTTTGCCGTCCTCGTTGCTGTCGCCGTCGTCGTTGCTTAAGCTTCCTACTGTTGTTGACAGTGACTGACGTTTCGACAACCTGTACGGTAGTCACTGTACCTTCAGAGCCAAATATTTTGCAACATTCCAGTGAGACTTTTTCCATTTCAGTTACCAACGGCATCTATTTGGAAAGATGGGACCGGATAGATTACAAGCGTGTTAAATTCCTTGTCATGGACCCTCGTTATCCAAGGCTGCCATCGAAAACAATATGTCTTCCTGAATTTCAGCAACCGCAGCGTTGGGCTGATTATTTCGGTGCTCGAGCAAGGACGTATTTTGTTCCACAGCAGACTGGAATTTACTACTTCATGCTCTGTAAGGATATTTTGATATTTAAATTACTAACTCTGTCATGTTTGACTGGTTTTAAAAAATTTGCCTTCGAGCCCGAAAACTGGCTCCTGGGGCCCGTTCATCCCTCGAAAGGCGAAATTTGAAAATCGAAGGCAAATTTGAAAATCATTACCTAAGCAAAATTGACCGGTTACGTTTGTGTGGTCCCTGCGTGCTACTCAAGAATGTTGTGATTCGCTAACCGATAGGTTTATTCTATCATTTTCAAAATTATTGAAACTTTGACCTTGCATGCAAACAGTTTGGTTCAAAAAATAAGGGGGGGGAGGGACCTGGGCCCCCCGTGCCCCTCTCCTGGATCCGCCACTACTAAAGAAGGCACGGATAGACAAACTTGAAAAAGAGTGTAACGGATTGCAATTATCTTTTTTTCTAAAACTTGTCAGTCTAATTGTTTTTCAAAGTTCATTTTGTTGTTTGTAAAGCAACCCTTTGTGATTTTGTCATTAGAGTTTAAGCTTCACGTATACGGCGAACGGCAAACGTCAGGTTCGAGTTGAAAATTTCCCCGGAAAATTTCTCAAAATAGAAAAAGAGTAGATAAAAGAGCTCAAAAGCAATTCTTATGAATAAAAGATTGCGTGAAACTACTAATTTAGGCGTAGAAATAATGAACAGTAAACGACAAGTAGAGAGGAAAGTTGGTCACGTGGTACGAGTTTGCGTTTGTCGTTTGACGTAAACCTGATGCTTAACCTCCGTTAAGTAAAAAGTAAAAATTCAACCAACTGACATCATGAACAAAATGAACTAGACAGGCGTGACACAGAAAAGAAACTTAGGAATCAATGCAAACACCATATCTCTTTTTTCCAGCTTCTGACGCTGGAAGCGAGCTGTATCTTAGTACCAATGAGAAACCTGACTCAAAGTCAAAGATTTCTCACATAGATGGAGGATTTGCAACATATCCATTTGAGTTTGACAGGTGAGATAAAAGTTCTATTAATTTTTCAGTTATAGCGTCTTTTTTTGGAAATGTTTCACCCACCTTACACAGACTAGAGGGTTCGGGATAGTTACAGGTGGCCGTCTTTGTTTTTAAATTACCGACTCTAACCTGTCAATGAGCTGTGGAAAATCCACTTGAATCCCCGGCGGTTTCGGTGGACTCGTACCCAGTCACTATTTATCTCTTTCTGGGGTGTGAGAAAATTGGGGTTAGGTTGAGGCGGGCGAGAACTCTTGAGAAGGGACGAAAGAAAAGTTTTCCTTCGTCCCTTCCTTTTCGGCTTATTTGAGACCAGGATTGCTGCACGTAACGGTCAGCGCTCGACCTCGATCTTATATAAAGAAAATAATGGACTGGGAACAATCTATAAACAAACTCGAGGATGAACATGCCGTGCTATTGATTTCAGTTTCTAGCTTTTTGCAGAAAACAGCGTACCAAACACAGTATAGAGTTAGGAATATTAACTGAAAAGTTGGTTAAGTTCATGTTTAGCTTCGAGACTTTAGGATGTTAAAAAGAAAAACGAAGAAAACAAAACAAAACAAAACAAAGAAATGTATCTCGCTAAAGAGTTCGTTATAAGCCCTGGGCTTGTACAGCCCCCAAAATGATCCCGACCCCAAAATGATCCCCAACCCTGAAATGGTCCCCAAATCGACCCCGAAATGATCCCCAATTAATTCTTGGAATGGAACTTGTATTTCGTCTCGGAATTATTACAAATCTGTTGCAGCTTTTACGCTCGTAAATCGCGTTTAACATTTCGCTACAAATTGAAAACGTTTCAGTCAAGAAGAGTATTTTTCCTTCTACCCTTCCCATGAGACCCCGCGCGCCTTAACGTAATCCCCAATCCTCTCTCATCCCAAAATTACTTAAACAGCGACTGGGTACGAGTCTGAGTCAAGAAGACTTTAGCAGCGACTGATCAAACAAAGTGAAATAGAGTTTAGTTGCGATATTTCGACTGGCCAATACCAGTCTTCATCAGGTTTATTGAGATATCGCGAATTCACAGAAATATATATGAAGTAAAATTATGACCGGAAATTACATAATATGACGTGGTATGGTGGCTACTTTAAAAGACAAGATAACAAAAAAATAAAAGATATACTATATATAGTTACAGTTCATCACGTTTATTGATGCCTAGAGGTTCAATTGTCTTAGCTTTATGGATAAGGTGGGCTTCACGTGCTTTCCTGAAAGAATCACGCCCATTTTTAAGTTTTTCAATAGGAATCAAAAGCATATGATTGTCGGAATGATTACTGGTTAGAAAATGTTCTGAAACTGCAGTATGGATGTAATTACCAGTAGGGTTGAGTATAGGTCGTCTGTGTTCATTAAAACGGTCTTTGAGGCGTCGTTTAGTTTCTCCAAATTGTAGATTACACAGGCGACATTGAATCAAATAGATAACATTAAAAGTTTCACAAGTGATATGAGATTTGATGTGGTGGGTCTCACCTGTAGAGTGAAAAGTGTAATCGCGGCTGCGACAAAACCTTTCTTAAGATCCAAACACAACGAGCTTCCGACATTCTTCGCACTGACGCAGTTACAAATCAACCCAAGACTTAGACTGAAACCTGCTAAAGTCTTCTTGACTGTAACGTTTTCAATTTGACCTATTTTGACTGATCACGATCTTTTTGGATCCGACGTTGAGCAAGATTGATCGTACACGGTATTTGCAGTGTTTTTTTTTTTCTTAATTAAACATTTTGCTACAGTTTGTGATTTTTTAGCGCTTTTGTCATCTAATCGCCTTTATGTATACTTTTGCATCTTCAAGATCATTTTAAGATTTTAAAAAGTGTTAAAACACCATTTTTAAAATTCAATATCCAAGGCATGCAGTTTTAACATCATTTTTAAGCCCCGTGCAAACGGACGCAACATTGCTGGCCAACAACTCCCAACATTGTTGGATGTTACATGTTGCGTCCGTTTGCACACCCTGTTGCATGTTGTTGGATGTTGTTGCGTGTTGTTGCGCAAAGTTTGAAACCGGTCAAACTTTTCAGCCAACAACTCCCAACATTTCTTTTGTTCCGTGATCGCCGAAGCGTCGCACAACAATGTTGGATCCGTTTGCACAGCTCTTCCAACATTGTTGGGGCCACGCACGCTCATTAAGCATGGATTACAAAGACTTATGGGTTGTATTCTTCCCACGATGCACGAACACGAACGTAACAACTCCCAACATTGTTGGCGCAACAATGTTGGGAGTTGTTGTGCCCGTTTGCACGCAGCCTTAAAATTTAACATCTATGTAGTTTTCTCTATAACCCGGGCTATAATCACCTAAGTAATAATTTAAAAAAATGTTATGTTTCTTGATATTATCAGTTGCAGTTCATGGTGTTCCCGAAAATATACTAGACTTTGTGTATTTTTTGATAATAATATTTTCGTTTAATTCAGTTCGAAGTGTAATCCCAAATTAATGTCATGTGGGCAAGTGAAGATTATTATAGTGAAGCTTAAGTTATAATGTTGTGCATTTTGCACGATCCATAGTTCTAGGATATCATTCCATTCCTAAAATTAAATGGGGATCATTTCGGGGTCGACGTGAAGAGAAATGGGGATCATTTCGGGGTCGATTTGGGATCATTTCGGGGTAGGGATCATTTCGGGGGCTGTACAGGCTAAATATCAAAGAGTTCTTGTTTCTTCTACCACCGGGCTCGTAGCTTTTCGAGCCCGAGCTCGTTTAAGTTGTTCTAATGTTTATAATTTGTAGTCGTGTATCATAGCCAAATTCGTTGTATCGCGCTAGGCGTTTGCAAACTTCGAATGGGTTTTTCTGTTCCGTCACTCTCTTGAGTGGGGTGGAGTTAATGCAAATCACAATGCAACGCACTCGCTCAGCTTGACCGGCAAAAACAAAACTGCGAATGACTTTAGACTGCTCAAGAATAGCGAAGGAAATCGCGATGATGAATGGAATTTTTGTCGAGGGCAGGAGGCAAACCTTGCTTTATTTTTCCAATGCAAGAGACACGAATGAGAAAGTTCAGAAAATCTTCGAAGAAAACTAGTCGATTATTGTCCGAAACAGGGCCGCCATCACAGAAACAAAAACAAATTGGATCGAAATGCACCAATCACAAGTAAACATGTGTCTCCTAAGAGGTTCGCTAAGATGATTGACGGAACAGAAAAACCCAAAATCCTTCGAAGTTTGCAAAATGCGCAGCGCGATACAACGAATTTGGCTATAAGTCCATCGCACATTTCTCAATGAATGCACTGCACAACAACTGAGCATGTACCGTACAGGGAGGGCTTATAAACGGAGGGGCTTATAACCGAAGTAAGTACAAAAAGCACCTCGAAACAGTTTAGGGCAGTGCTTATCAACATACGTTTTGGTCAGATTGGGTGACGGGATTAAATAAAGGAAGGACCATATCGGGGAAAAACAGTAAATATAATCAACCTTATATGTATGAATCTATACAGGTATAGCGGCCAAATATCACTTCCTATTTCTCTGGAGAAGGGGAAATATTATTACATGGAAACTATAATGAAAGACGATCATCAAAATGATCACTTAGAAGTTGGAATGCAGACACCTGACGGGAAAAATTACACAGTGATACCCTCGGCATTCTTGAGGACCAGTTTGCCTGTTCCACCAAGTAAGTCTGGCAAGTTATGTACTGTTTGAAGCCAACAAATCACAAATAACTGTAAAAGAATTATACAAATGAACTTCTCCTAAACAGCCACCATAAATGCCAGGTTTCGATCGGTGGTCGGCAAAATGTATCTCACTTGAAAGAGTTCGGTGGGAGGAAACTGTAAAGGTTTAAAGGGCCCTGCAACACGGCTGTCGACTCACGATACGAGGCGTATGAATAGAAAAAGTCATTGCCAAGTGTAATATAAAGAGTCCATTTAAAAAATTGTTGGTTCGCACTTGTCGTACGAATAGATGGAATCATTTTCTACTTGGAAGATCGGCAGAGTGACGTTATTTGTCGAACGGAAAAATGCATCTCATTTAAGAGAGCTGGAAATTGCCCAGCAATGGCCACACAACGAGTTGTCGACTCGTATGAGCCGTATATATAAATAGAGAAATTGAAAATCATTGCCAACTGCGAAAAAGGAGTTGTCACAAAAGAATGTTCAAAGGGCTAAGAGAAGGGCGTGCCCTATTCTACATTCGTCTCGAGATCATCCCCGCGGGAAACGTGGATAAAGATACTTCTCACGGTTCATTGGATTTTTCGTGTTTTTTTTCGCATGACTGCTGAACGAAGCCCAGAACTCGTCTGCCGCCGGTCATCGCCGCGGCAGCGATGAACGCATAATAAGCTCGAATAATGCATCTCATTTAGAGAGACTTCAAAGATCTTTAAATGATGTGAGGGGCTCTGCAACAAATTGTCCTCTCGTTCGAATTTAACGAGTGGAAAGATTGAATCTTTGTGGACTTGACATAATATAAGTTCCCAAACGATAAAATTGCGTCTCATAATATATCAGAAGGTTAGCATGAAATTCTCCAGCACGTTTATTTAAGGTGCTCTGCGACAAACTGCTTGTTTGTGCGATTGCACAAATAAACAGCTGGTTTGTTTTTGACTCGACAGAATAAGTTGTCGAACAGAAAATGGATGCATTTTCGATTGGTAAATTTTCCTTTGTCGATAGAAATGAACGAAAGGAAAATTTACCAATTCAAATGGAATGGACTCACACCATTATCAACTAAAAGACCCAGAAACATTTGTACGTAGTAAAATTCTCATCCAATTAAATTCTTGCAAGATATCTCTAGAGGCTTGACAAGGAACGCCCACTTTAGCGGTCGGAGTTATCAACTCGCTAATTAAAGCAGAAAACAACTAACCATGTAGCTTTATTTCCCGCCAGTGAAAGGCATTGGAACTCTAAAATTAGCTATAGCATTCTCCAACTCTAATAACGTCGGCCACCAGCCGCAAT